TGCAAGAAGTATTTAAAGTGAAAAAAAAAAAAAAAAACAAGGACCTACAACCAAGATTAATCTATTCAACAAAGCTATCGTTTAGAATCAAAGGACACATACAGAGCTTCACAGATAAGAAAAAGCTAAAGGAGTTCATCACCACCAAACCAGTATTATATGAAATGCTGAAAGGTATCCTTTAAGAAGAGGAAGAATAAGAAAAAGGTAAAGATACAAACTATGAACAACAAATACACATCTATCAACAAGTAAATCTAAAAGTCAAGTGGATAAATAATCTGATGAACAGAATGAACTGGTAATTATAATGGAATCAGGGGCATAGAAAGGGAGTGGACTGACTATTCTTTGGGGGGAAAGGGGTGTGGGGGATGCGGGAAGAGACTGAACAAAAATCATGCACCTATGGATGAGGACAGTGGTGGGGGTTTGGGGCAGGTAGGGCGGAGGGTGGGGTGGGAAACGGGTGGAGGGGAGCTATGGGGGGAAAAAGAGGAACAAATGTAATAATCTGAACAATAAAGATTTAATTTTTTAAAAAAAGAAAAGAAAAAGAGGGCCCAGTGAAAGTGAGTAGCATCCCCAGTTTGTGGCAGAACCTGGATTAGAACTCATGATTCCTAGTCCAATACTTTCTCATCCAGGAAAAATTATCCACCTTTTATTGCTAGACTAGGTACTATGGTAAGTTTCTTGAATATATGCTTGCATTATCTTTGATAACCTTGTAAATATTTCAGATTTACAAGTGAGAAAATTAAAGTTTAGTGAATAATTCCAGATCACTTAGTAAATGGCAGAGTTGGGATTCAAATGTCTCAAAGCCTTCCCAATATCGCTCTTCTTTTCCTGTTGCCCTTGGTCCAAGCAGCTTAACTTTTCACTCAAAATATGATTAGGCTTCTCATACCTGTAATGTTGTCATAATTCCGGAAGGTCTTTTCTACATGGTCCCACTCAAGGAAAATGCATTTTCCGTTAAAAGGCTGAGCAATGACTACATACTCATCGTTCATATAAGAAAAAGTATCTATGGACAGTGATTGATAAGGCAGCTCTTGAGACTTTGCAAATTCTGCAAAAAATAGGAAGTGACAATGAGTAACTGTGTGCTAAAGTCTAGCTCCTTGGCTAGATCTCAAATGTCCATAACAAATGCATTTATTTTAGAAAAGTAGTAAAATGACAATTTTACTTTGTGTTTAAATGCATGACATTTTAATGGTTCATAATATTTTTAAAATTAAATTGCTTAGTTGGTTTTTGAGATATAAAAATATCAGTTCCTGTACATGCAAAAAAGTGTAGCCCTTCTTTTAATTTTATGAGGTGAAATAACTTGGAATACATTACCTGTAATGATACAATCAAAATCCTTGGAGGAGAGGCTATTGATTTTGCGTTTCTTGTATTCTGGAGGGCTTTCGCAGTAGATGTCTTCGACAGTTGCATTGGTGTGGCCTAGCCATTCCACCAGCCACTTCAGTTTACAGTCACAATTAAATGAATTCCCTCTGAGGTCCCTGAAAGACAAACTTCAGCTGCTTTTGCTCTATGAGGGTCCTACCTTCACAGTATGACTTCTATTTCAGCCATTAGCATGTGCCAGAATGCCCCAGAATCCACCTTGAACCTGACTAATTCACTCTGAGCTCAGAATTACCACAGTGTACCCTTACAGGCCACCCCAGTCAAAGGAACCTGCTAACTTACTCCCTCTTGGATTCGAAGGTAGCTGGGTCTAGAGCTGTGCTGTCCATAGAAATATAATGTGAACGACATATGTAATTTAAAATTTTCCATAGCACATTAAAAAAGTAAAAAGAGACAGGTGAAGTTAATTTAATAATATATCTTATTTAGCCCAATATATACAAAATATTATCATTTTGATATGTAGTCATTATAAAAATTAATAAAACATTTTACATTCTTTTTTATAGTAAGTCTTTGAAGTCTAATGTATATTTTATACTCATTTCATAGCATATTTCAATTTGGATGCTAAATTTTCATCAGAAATACCTGATGTGTCCTTAGATTTAATAAAATTTCCAGTTAAAAAAAATAGACTCACGCACCCAAGTTGTTGCAAAGAGACTTAAAAGTTTTCCAATAATTGAACTGAGAATCAATTTTTAAATTTAAATTTTAAAAAAATTAGGTAAAATTTACAAGTCAGCATCTCAATCACACTAGGAACACATTTCAAGTGACCGCATGTGTGGCTACCATACTGGACAGCACAGGTCTAGAGGAAAGTATGTAGTGATTATTGTATCATATTTAATTAAATGGAATGAGTTATTTGCTTTTCTTCTTCCTCACAGACATAATTAGTCCTGACCTTATTTCATGGTCTACAAATTCAATTTTAATAGGAAATGACTTTGACACAGCAGAGTTAACGCAGACATGCAATAGCTCAGGTTTATAATAAACTACACATCTAGATAGTTTAAATTTCCACATATGATTCCAACTTACCAACTTCTATTTATTTGCACTGCTGTTGTTCATAAAGTCCATCTCCTTCCTAAAACCCTTCTTCATCACACAGAATTTGTACAGTAAGTGTTGCCTACTCTTCACACAGCACATAAACATTTTTTAAATGTTGAAGCTTTAAAATTTTTCTCAGGAGACGTTAAGAAAACCAGGAAATTCACTCAAAGTCAAATTTGCACAATCCTGTACTTCTTAGATAATTCTTGATTGTTAACCAGAGCAGATAACTGTGGTCTGTTAGAGACTTTCTTGGAAATGTCCTGATCCCTGCACTCTCTTGGAAATAAACCAGGAATTGGGCTAAAAGGCATGGAGGAGGGGCTGGGGGAATACTACAAGGAACAAAGGAAGTTTTTCAGTAGTTTACTGATTTGAACTTAAATACTAGGCTTAGGAGAAAACACTTGACTCAGACTTTTTGTTATTGGAGAAAAGTTGTTCTGAATAGTCTATAGCAAAGTACCTGAACAATAAGAAATCTTTTGTTTTCATATGTCCTTTCATTTGTTCCTGAATTCTACATTATGGAATTTAAATACCTTTCAAATATTCTGGAAGGCACTTAATGAAGCTAAATTGCTTTTGAGAGCTTTAGGCATATATTACTTGCTTTGCTTACAGCAAAATATACAAATTCCTTACAAAGATCTTTCACTCTGAAGCTTAAAAGTCAAAGTTTGAAAGCTCTTTTGTTTGAAAAGGGGTCAAAAATAATTAAGTTCATTCCCTTCCCGGGGCTTAAGCCAAATTCCTGGGGATTAAGCCTAGAGTTGTTGTTCAGTCTAATGAGAAAAAAGTCAAACTTTCCTCCCTTCCCCCATTTCCTGCTCCATTTCTCTGTAGACTGACCAACCCATGGGTGTAACCTTTCATCTTTACTCTGTTTCCCAGACTCCTTTATATTTTCCTTTGTAGCCCCATTTCCTGGACCTCATGGGAAAAAAGGCATCTTGAGATTTCTATCTGGGCCTCCTGGTCCCTCTCCCTCAAACTTCCTTATCATCACTCCCTTCCATACGGACACACACTTTGTCAAAGGAATGTCTGGGCACTATATTTTCAGAATGTCTAGTGGTACAAATCATAGAAAAAAAAAACATTAGTCTAAGTAAATTTAAAATTCAAATCAACTTAAATTCTAAAATTCTAATTTAATTTTAAAGCCAATTAAAAATTTTAATAATCAATACCAGGCTTCTTTGTTAACTATTACAAATTAATTAAGTAATTAATTAATCAGGTCCTCTTACACATTTGTTAAAGAATCCAAGCCTTTGAAAATATCTTTTGGGAGCGTCTGGAGATTGTTGTTTGCAAGGCTCCTGGGGGGAAAGAAAAAGAGTGAAGTAAACTGTAGTCATAAACTAAATAAATGTATTTTATGATAAAGCTTTGTTATGAGTCCCTTTTGTTCTTCCTAGGCTATACTAAATTAGTTCTTCTGCTAAGATACTAGTCAGGTTCCTGCAATTGTATTTTCAGTCCTTGCCTCCTTGTTTCAACACTCAATGGTACTTCATGTATCATGTTTATCATGCCCATCCCACCCCCAAATACCAGTAACAAAATGATGCCTGGGAACTGATCTTTCTGTTTAGAACAGATAGATTCACACTCTCAGACATTGTCTAAGGGATGACTAAATGGGTGACAGGGTCTATCCCCAAATGCCCTATTACCACAGGAATTGTTTTTTCTTTCTCCTTCTATTTGTTCTTTCATGAATCACTAGAATGATTTTAATCAAAGTCAAAGAAAGTTTTTCAGTAGTTTACTGATTTGAACTTAAATACTATCTTTAGGAGAAAACACTTGACTCTTTCTCTTTCTCCTTCTTTTTGTTCATGTTCATAATGAACTACACATCTAGATAGTTTAAATTTCCACATATGATTCCAACTTTGATTTTAACCAAAGTCAAAAGAGTCCTGACAGCATCAAGGAAAGAGAAATGTGTCTATATTGCAGAAATGTGAACAAGCAAAGGGCAGATGCTGTCTGATGGGGAAGGGTTCTAGTTACTCGTAAATTTCTACTTTTTAACCAGCATTGTACATATTCATATTTCATAAACTTTTCTTAGAAGTGGCCTTTTTTCACAATAAAAATCAAAAAGTAAAACAAAGAAAGCCTATGCTGTCAGCCTCCAAAACCCTTGAGAATGAAAATTCCCTTTAAAACACTCTTAAAAGTCTTCTGTGTCTTCCACCTCCTAAGTAATATGGGATTTTCCAGTGTAAACACTCAGGACTTTTAAAACATATTTTTAAGTTAATTATGTTGCTTTTCTGAGTTTTGGAAATTACAACTAGAGTGGAAGACCTTTTTCAATGAACCTTGGCACATAAGAATGAGAACTGAGTCAGATTGTTCCCACCTCATTGACAGTCTATTTTGTGAAGAAGGACACGGATGTGGAGTCATTCTGAGCTTGGTTTGAATTCTGGGTCCACTATTTACTGGTTGTGTGATTTTAGTTGTGCATCTTCTCTGAGACTCAGGTTTTGTTTTTTTTTTCATTTTTAAGTGGATGAATGATACTCATGTCATAAGATTGTCAGAAGTAGTAAATGAGATAACTCAGGATGGTATCTGGCTTTTGGACTACTCTCAAAGGGCAGCTTGGAGGAGGGAGCGGGGAAAAGAAGGAAAAGGCCTTCTGCCTGTCCATTGCCCAAGACACAGCACTGAGAAAACTGACCATCTGAATGTACTGCTGCATAGTAATAATAAAATGCTATAGAAGACTATTCAAGAGAATGTTTCCATAACTCACCTTACTGCCTGGTGGTTGAATGAAGAGATTTCGACCAGTTCAGAGTCACTCCCAAGTTATGTGTCTCAATTTACTTTCTGGCACCACGTGCCTTAAGTTCTCATGCTAACTTCTCTGTGGACATACTTCCCCCAGAAACCAGCACACTGTCATTGGCTTCAGGGCAGGAGTTTGGAGGAGGCTGGTCATGAAACAGCAAGTCCCGAATTACTGCTGCCACTAGGGCTGCATAGGAAGAAGCACTTTGTTTGCGTTGCTGCCCAAGGTGGTTCTTTGAACAGTGGAGGAATCTAGCAGTTTTACTTCCTGCCCAAAGGAGTACAGCTGTAGGCCTCACATGCTAACTTCAGAAGCAGCTGGTGAGATGGTCAGAGATAGAGACTTGGAGCTCTGGGGCTTCTGGAATAGGGAGTTGGTAATTTTTCATGGCAAGATGGACTTATAATCAACAGATCTGGGAGATGGGCTGATGAAGCAAACTGGCCTGATGGACTGTAAAATGAGGCATTATGCTTCTTGAGGACGTCTTGTGATAGGGAGGCTCTCACCAAAGGAACCAAAGGGTGAGGGAGGCAGTGCAGTATGAGGGGTGCCAGAGGGAAGAATGTTGGATGGATTTTCTACACTCAATCAGACCCCTCCCACGTTCCATCACCAAAAATCAATTAAACACTGACTCCTCAAGGAGATAGGATAGAGCTTCATGACTAGGTGTGGTAAGGGGTACGCATGAGAAGGCTGCCTGAACTCACAAAAGAAGCAGAAATAAGAGTAAGAGCCAGAAATGAGAGGGAAACTTCTGGATGCCCAGTGAATTGGAGTTTAGATACTACCCTGTGTTTCTTGAAGGCCTCAGCGACATTGGGTTACATTTGGAAAAGAAGAAAGCAGACAGCAGGACTTGGGCAGAGAATATCTTAGGG